AGAATGGTTATTTTCATGAGGAATCAGAGAGGCTCTGATTGTTCCTTGTAAGGAACTAGAGGGGCTCTGGTTGGTCCTCATCGTTTGACCAAGAGGATTCTGGTTTTTTGATTGAAAGGATGAGCAAGTTTTTACTAAAGGTTTTATTTATATTAAAGGTTTTGTATCTATTGTTAAGATTTTCTATGTCAAAATCATATTTTAAATATTTAAGAAAAGAATTTTATACTTAGTCTTTTTATGAAAAACAGTCCACAGAAGCTCTGGTTAAGTGTTGAACCAGAGGGGCTTTGGTTGGTCATGTCTTTGGAACCAGAAGCTCTGGTTAGTACAACCAGAGGCTCTGGTTGAACATGAAGTTTTTTTTTATAAATTACTCGTTTATGAAAAAGGTTATCTTTTGATTAAGAGTTTATCTAAATATTATTTATATTAGTGAAGTTTTGATTTTAACATGGGGCTCTGGTCATGAGGAGCAGAAGCTCTGGTAGAGAGACCAGAGGGGCTCTGGTCCTAAATGTCACAATATTTTCTAAGTCTGGATAGTTGAACCAGAGGCTCTGGTCGAGAGACCAGAAGCTTTGTAAAAGACCAGAGGGGCTCTGGTCAAGAATGTTTAAAAAAAAATTTCTAAGTGTTATTTGAGACCAGAGGTTCGATGGACCAAAGCAGTATGTTTTCAGTTTTGCTTCATAAGATGTTTGATTTGAAATAAGTGTTTTGGTGATCTTCACCCTGCATTACATAGAAGGGAATCTCACTAGACATTCATGTCTAACCCTCATTTTCGTGTTTCCAAAATTATGTGTGCAGGTAATGATAAGGGGAAGAATATTGTGTGAATTACTTCCCTATTTGCTTATCTGTTTTTGGGAGCATAAATGATAGAATGCAAGAGCTTGTACTTTTGGAATTCTTAAGCTGTGTATTTTATATTATAGACTCTTGTATCGAGGACTTATGTGGGGAAAACATGTACTTTATATATAAAATATGTGTTATATGAAATGTGTGGATTTGGGGTGTTACACTTTAACATTACCATGTCGCCAACTGAAAACTCTATTGGCCGTCGCCGTTTGTCGGCATATGACTTCTGTCTATCTTGTGCCGCCTTCATTATTTCACGAACGATTTGAATCTTTTCATGAGTATCTTGTATCAATTCTGGACCAGCCAAGACTTTCTCTCCTGTTTCATGCCAACACAAAGGTGTACGACACTTTCGCCCGTATAACGCCTCGAATGGTGCCATCTTGATCGATGCATGGTAACTGTTATTATATGAAAACTCCGCTAATGGCAAATACTTGTCCCAACTACCTCCAAACTCTAGTACACACGCACGTGACATATCTTCCAAGGTCTGAATCGTTCTCTCTGTCTGTCCATCGGTCTGTGGGTGATACGCTGTGGTAAGAGCAACACGCGTCCCTAACTCTCTCTCATGCTCGTCCAAAAGTTTGAAGTGAAACGAGTGTCACGATCTGAGACTATTTTAACTGGTACACCGTGCCTAGCAATAATTTCATTCA